GAAATGGCTGATCGTCTAGTAGCTACAGTATTGAAGAAATAAGAAGAATGAAATGGCTGATCGTCTAGTAGCTACAGTATTGAAGAAATAAGAAGAATGAAATGGCTGATCGTCTAGTAGCTAGAGTATTGAAGAAATAAGAAGAATGAAATGGCTGATCGTCTAGTAGCTAGAGTACTGAAGAAATAATAAGAATGGAAATGGCTGATCGTCTAGTAAGCCATTTCCATGTTATTATTTCTTAAATACTGTAGCATTAGACGATTCGTTGAAGTAATGTAGAGTATTAAAGGTAAAATGTAAATTATTAAAGGAGTATAAAGTTACATAAATAAAAAATGACTAATAAAAACGCAGATGATCAGCACACTGAATAATATAGGAAACAAAGGCAAAACTTTCACAGTAAGTCTTAAATCTCTCAAAAAATAGATCAAATTAAATCTGTTTGAAAATGAAAAAATGCATTCATTTTCTTTTGTTTGTTTGGTGACTTTCGCGCAAAGCTACTCGTGGGCTATCTACGCTAGAAGTGAATATAGAAGGCATATAGTGAACACCACTCACCGCAAAGTGGACTAATAATAAAACTGGAAAACAAGAATCTGAATGTCACAATTGTAGTCCACTATACACAGGGTAAAATAAGGAACTAGTCCCTTATACACAGAGTAAAATAAGGAACTAGTCCCTTATACACAGAGTAAAATAAGGAACTAGTCCCTTATACACAGAGTAAAATAAGGAACTAGTCCCTTATACACAGAGTAAAATAAGGAACTAGTCCCTTATACACAGAGTAAAATAAAGAACTAATCACCTATACATAGGGCAAAATAAGGAACTAGTCCACTATACACAGGGTAAAATAAGGAAGCCCTATGTATAGGGAACTAGTTCTTTATTTTACCCTGTATATAGGGGACTAGTTCCTTATTTTGCCCTATGTATAGGGGACTAGTTCCTTATTTTGCCCTATGTATAGGGGACTAGAAAATAAGGAACTAGTCCCATACACAGGGTAAAATAAAGAACTAATCCCCTATACACAGGGTAAAATAAGGAACTAGTCCCCTATACACAGGGTAAAATAAGGTAACATTGGACGTTATCGGACCCTGCTATAGAAAATAACATCGTGTGCTAAATCCTTCCAACGGATTTAGAGTGTTCCAAGCTAAAACTTCGAAAATACAAATAAAAAATATATTTAGATGTGAAATATATAATAAGTGGGACAAAAGTGAGTTAAGTACAATCTGCTTACTACATCACCCTACAGCTAACTTGTGTACGTGTCTAATTAACATGTCTAACGTTTTTAATTTTTACGCTGTTCTTTTTCTCTCACATTAATTAATGTATTTCAGAACTATGTCTTTGATTCACTCAGTTAACAAGTTATGTCTTTTGATTACTCCAAACTAAAGAAAAGAGCTAACAAAACCTCTATACATGCAGTAACCAGTGAAGACTGCCATGATTATAAATCACTGTAGTAACCAGTAAAGGTTACCGTGACTACCAGTTCAGGATATAAATCGCTGTAGTAACCAGTGAAGATGACCGTGACTACCAATTTAGGTTATAATCCACTGTAGTAACTAGTGAAGGTTACCATGACTACCAATTCAGGTTTTAAATCACTGTAGTGACCAGTGAAGGTTACCGTGACTACCAGTTCAGGTTATCATAGAGTCGGTAGACTCTTTATGTAGGGTTGGCCAAGGTACTCAATAAATATAATATAAATATGCAAGCTGAAAAATCAACAATGACTAAGAGTTTTAGTTTATTTATATGATTGTTACCCACTTTCATTTGTTTCTCTATCCAACAAGCCCTAAAACAAGGCAAGAAACCATCACTAAGATACCAAACCAGAAAGTGACCAACCCACAAAATGTTCATCTTTCTTTTTGGTGTTTCAGTCGAGATAACTCCACAACTACTTTATCATTAACGTCAGTTTAAACTTAGACCCACTTTATGTGTTTTTGAGCAGTGCACGGTGTCATTGCTTAGTCGTAATAACTAGTAGTAATGTTTAAAAAAATCATAATTCTGGTGTAAAGTTGAAGTTAACGTTTTTACAGAAATATGGTGTTCCTTTAAAAGCTTAAGTTCACGGTGAAACAGGAATTACTAGCCAATAATAGACAAATATTAGATGACTGTAACATGTAGACTACTCAATGCTTTGTACACTATACAATTGGTGTTTTTAGGGAGCCAAACCCTATATTATGTATGAAGTGAAGGAGTAAAAAAAAATCAATACACATAATATTAAATGTTATTACACACATTCATAGAATAGACTAACTTTCAGTCAGGGAGAAAACTTCACAAAACAAGTAATAAAAAACACCGTGTAAATGTAAAATGATGTCGGGATGGCAATGTCGAAAAAGAATGCAAACAAGAATATAGGGATGATACAAATACACATAAATAATCCCTATATGACTTTCAATATTAAAATTTAAGGTTATACTGTAAAATACATACTTTAAGAATACTGCAGTTGGAAGTTATATATTCCTGACTATTGGTATGCATTTGTTTATCATAATATCATGGTCATGTCAGGGTAGGCATCAATGTTGTGTAACTAAGAGTCTAGGACTTATGTGCAAAGAAAACCAAGTCGAGTCAAAACATGTCTTGATTATTACAGACTATTACAGACTCTCGCTATGAGGTTGGTTGAATTGACCGAGCTGTTAACCATTTTGTACTCGTGCATTTGTCAGTGTAACATTAAATTTTAATATTGAAAGTTATGTAGGGATGATCTATATATAGCTATATCATCCCATTATTCTTGTTTACATTCTTTTTGTCACTGCCATTTCTACATAGTTTTACATTTATAAAATGTTTTATTTCTTTTAATTCACGGCAGTACCGTTGCTACCAATTCAGGTTAGATTTCACATAACAATTTGTACACTTAGTAAATATTGAATATTACCGTAACTACCCTTTATGGTTATATTTCACAAGAAAACTGATACATGTAGTAACCAGCAAAGTTTAAATGACTACCAATTTGGCTATATTCCACAAGACAGCTTATACAAGTTGTAAGCAGCGAAGGTTACAAGACTGATGACAGACAAGATTCAACTACTAAATCCCAACTAAAGGCTAGAGCGCAGGCACGTTGAGGTTATGGTCATTCTCCATTGGCTTATTCTTAGTGACTTAGCCTAACATAGTATCTCACCTAACGGTAGGTTTGTAACGTTGGAATGTTTAAAATACCCTTACTTTTGAAAGGGCCAGGTGAAACTGGAAATTTTTAGTTATTTTTTCATCGGATTTTTTTAATTGCCTGTCACGGTATGTCACTGAAACAATGAAAAAAACAATTTAATTTTAATACAATTCCTCTCTATATAAGGATATATTCAGTATATCGAATATCTTTATTAATTATTATTATACTTTTTATTATAGCGATTGTTTTGCATTCTTAGCTTAATATATGTATTTAGGACTAACCTAAGTCTCCTAAAGTTGGCTGATCCTCGTGAGATATTATTGGGGTTACGGCCGAAAATATCGTTAAAAGTGCATTTTAATATTTACAACTGCAAACGTAAAACAAATATAGTAGTTGTTACCAAGCTGATATTTAGTTTCTTCCTAAGTAGATATGTTGTTGTTATCATAAGTTAATTTTAATTACCTATAGTATTTTTATCTTTTAAATAAAGTAGAAAATATATATATATATATATAAGAATGATTTATACTACTTACACTGCAATAAAGCCCTGTTATTTCCACACAGTAGTGTTTGTAGTTCTTCAAGACTTCTTATAATTCGTTCCAAATTTACATAGTGCTCATATAGCTTACAGTCTCTGACCAGTGGCTTGTAACATTCAGTTAGGTCTTTAATTTTTCTGTGTAAAACATGAGAAAAATTGTTGTTCAGCAAACTTCATATCGTTACATAAAACTTGATGAAGTACAAACCTGAATCATAATGGACTATGAATACCATATTTTTCAGGTCAACAATTGAAACTGAAAGTTAGATTATCAACTATAGAATTGAATATGTATAATGACTTGTAAAATTCCAGTTTATAAATATTAAACAAACTTTAACAAAACAAAAACAGAGACACCAGAGCACAGGCTATAACACGGATATGAGATGAATTCTGGTTTTAGGAGTTGACTGCAGAAATTGTGTTTCATCACAGGTTTGGTTTTGCTGTTTGTAAGGCAGTCCTATCTTTTTATGCAAAACTTAACTGTTTAAATATTATTCATGTTTACATTCTATATATATATATATATATATATATTTAGGTTTAGTATAACTTTTCTATGGTCTGGCATAGCCTGGTGGTTAGGACGGATCGCGGGTTCGAATTCCAGCCACCGAACATGCTCATCCTTTCGGCCGTGGGATAGTTATAATGTAAAAGTCAATCCCACTATTCGTTGGTAAAAGAGTAGCCAAAGAGTTGGTGGTGTTGACTTGCTGCCTTCCCTCTAGTCTCTTACTGTGAAATTAAAGACGGCTAGCGCAGATAGCTCTTGTGTAGCTTTGCGCGAAATTCAAAACAAACCAAAGTTTTCTACTTATAGTCAGGTGAGTGATATTAGTTATAAGTATTTTTGGTTGAGTATAACTTTTTGTGCATATTTAATAGCAAATGTAGCGCATACAGTGTCCTCTGTTGATGGATTCTGATGTCAGTCACCAGTG